GGGGACTAGAGAACTTAACAAGGTCAGAATAAAGGAAGGCACAGAGGTCACCGACATAAGGAATAGACATCACTGAGGGGAGGGGGGGGGGAGGACAAAAATATAGACAGACGAGACAGGTGAAAGGCAAAGGAAGAAAAAAAAATAAACAGAACAAGAAATAACGAAGGCTGAAAATAATGTTTGCGAGGTACCATGAAATTAGGTGCTCGACAGGTTAATGAAATTAAAGAAATCGGAATTATTTTGGCCAATGGGACATTTTTTTAAAAATCTTTTTTTTTGCTCAACTCCTTTTATATCCACTTAAAAACACATTTTGTGTGGATTTAACTGAAACACGTTGATTAAAGGCACAAAAATGTAAATTTTCAGTTTCGAAGGACTCCCAGGCTATGGAACGTACCACAATTTGGCGGCAATTTTCCCGCTAATCTTACCTCTGAAATCAGGCCACCCTGACCTCCTTCAATCGTAAATAACTCGACTTCTATTCAACACAGATGGATATTTTTTCGGGAAAAGAAAGACAAAAGAACAGGCTTGAAGATAATATCAATAACCACATATGCCCAAAAATTGACGAGCGCCTGATTTCACCTCGTCCGTCCACATCTACCTGTAGTATAGGCAGAAAGACATTTTAAAAAAAGAAAAGAAGGAAAAGGGACATTGGACGACTACGGCGTTGTCCTTCTGTGGTTGTCGCACGGAAATAAAAGGAAAAAGAGAATGCTGCAGGAAATGGGGAGTTATGATCTAATTCCTTAACTCAACATTCATGCTATTGGACTTTTTAGGCCTCTGATTTACAGTCCGTTTCCGATACGTCTAGACCGTCTTAACTTTCCTGAATGGAAAATCTAAATGGGTCTCCGTCTGTTGGCGGCAAATAATCTTGTCAGTTTGTTAGCTTTTGAGTCCTTAATGGGCAGCTTGCACTGTATGTTTCCCGGGCCACTGATAACGTTACTAAGTGCACTATGGTCTGCTGAGGTACCGTTAGTAAGTCAAATAATTAATTCGTAAAACAGCAAGTTAGCAAATAGTAAATGAAGTAAAGTAAGTGAAACTGTCAGTAAATACAACACTAAAGTAAGTGAAACTGTCAGTAAATACAACACTAAAGTAAGTAAAACTGTCAGTAAATACAACAGTAGAGTAAGTGAAACTGTCAGTAAATACAACACTAAAGTAAGTAAAACTGTCAGTAAATACAACACTAAAGTAAGTGAAACTGTCAGTAAATACAACAGTAAGAGAAGCAATGTTAGTAAGTAAAACAGTAAGTCAGTCATGCAGTAAGCGAAGTAAAGAAAGTGAGGTAAAACAGTAAGTGAAGAAAGACAGTAGGTAAGTCAAACAGTAAGTCAAACAGTTAGTAAGTCAAACAGTTAGTAAGTCAAACAGTAAGTAAGTCAAACAGTAAGTAAGTCAAACAGTAAGTCAAACAATAAGTCAGTCAAACAGTAAGTAAGTCAAACAATAAGTCAGTCAAACAGTAAGTAAGTCAAACAATAAGTCAGTCAAACAGAAAGTAAGTCAAACAATAAGTAAGTCAAACAGTAAGTGAAGTCAAGTAAGTCAAACAGTAAGTGAAGAAAAAAGAGTGCGTAAGTGCACGAGTACTGACCCAGCTGAGGAAGTCCGTGTGCTTGTGATAGACGACACACTGCGCCTCCTTGCTCTTCTCCTTCACGTATTTGGGGAACTCCAGCCCCATGATGAGCCCTATAGCCAGCACCAGCACGCCCACCAGCACGATCCCCAGGCCCAGGATGTGAGTAGACACCGTCTGACCACGCACGCTCAGGTTGAGCTCAGGTCTGTCCTTGAGAGACCACGGGCTCTGGCCGTGTGAGTCGTGGGGCGCTCGGACCATGGACAGTTGGTACGCGCGGAGCATCGTGTTTTAGACTGGTAGTCGCCGAGTATTACGGCACTTGCGACACGAGTAGATCAGATAAACCCCAAAGCATTGTGTTTTAGTGTCAGTCACAGAGTTTTACGGCACTTGCAAACCAATTAGGTCATATAATATGTGCCGAGACAGTGTGTGCTGTAACGTCAAACAGTGGCCCGATGATTCTCTGATTTCAGCTCACGTTTTTTCTCTCTGAAACTGTCGTTGGTTGTTACTGCAACTCGATGCAGATGTTCTAATTGATGATTTTTCTGAAATTTTATCCAGCACAAAATGGTTCAATTGATATGTGGAATAGTTGACATAACAAAGGATTCCTCTGTGCAATATCCAGGAATAAATGAGGGTTAAATATGGTTAACAAACATCTGTCAACTCATTCTAGCTGTAAGATCTGATGTACAAATCCCGTGTACCAATCTAGCGTCCATTTGTTCGACAACTTGTCCTAGCTGTGAGGACACTTGGGTGTTTCAACCTCGACATTGGCGAGACACTGAAGCAGAAACTCAAAAAGCTTATTTGTGGCAACTCTTTGAAACGATGATGATTCTGACGTGTTTCCCCACGGTTCAAAAGCTCAGGTTAAAATCTAAACAATGGCAGCTGACGGAAATAGTGTGTGGGGAGACAGGAAGTATGAATTATGCACCAGCGTTCTGTCTACGCCGCGGTCCAAGCTGTAAACACACACATTGTCTCCTTGTCTTAGCTTGACACCGGTTCAGGCCACATCGATTTTCTTGAGGCAAAAGAGAACGTCTTCCAGTGGTTGGTCATTTCCTCAAAGTTTGCCCTTCCCATCATCTCAGGCGAATGACGACAATCCTACACTTAGAAGTGGCATGAGCTGACTGACAAACGTACACTTAAAAGTGGCAAATCCGGCTCCTTGCAATCTCCTTGCCACAGAACATAATGTCTTCCATATCTTACTAATTGGATAATATATTATTATATTTTAATTCCAGCTGTCATTAATTCAATTATCAAACGAAATTCACAAAATACATAAATTGTGGTTTAAAATGTAATAAGCGTGCTGTGTATTTATCCGACAATGTGAAGTTTTACAAAAACTACACTCGCTTCATCAAGCAGTCAAGGATAGATCTCAAATGTCTAATAAAATGGAATCAAAGCTAAAAACGCGGGGAAGTTAATTCAGCTAACTACAGTTTTCTGCTTGAGTTGTCCGAGAATTTCTCTCGATTGTCTCCCCTGCTCTGTCGCACAAATCTCACAAAGTCTTCACAGAAGCGGAAGTTCCCTGCGGCGCAGTGGGAAGTCCTGGCATGTCCTGCCTGAGTTGTCCTTTCAGGAATCTCACAACTCCGTTGTCCGTTCGGGCACACTGGACAGTCTGAAAACAACAGAACATTGGGAGAGTTATTTTTCTGGGCAGATGAAGGGTAGTTTTTGTAGAGACTTGGCTCTTTGCCCAGATAAAGAATTATTTCAGGTCTTGAAAGCATCGTATCAAATATACGTAACCAGTTGTTGAAATTGACAAAGCTCAGAAAGAATTTTTTTTTCAATATAAAGTTAATATTGTTGTTTTTTTAAAGTTGTACCTACATTATGTATCTGTCCTAGTTGGGTTTTTTTCTTAATTTGCAAATTGAATTTTGCCAAATGCTTTTCAAGCACCTGTAACCAACATGGCAGATTGACAAAATGCAACAACAACAAACATTCCGAATCGTAGGCTTAGCCGTCCTGCACATCTGGTCGATGATATCATCATACTCAGAGAAACAATCGTTTCATGTCTCTAAAGAGCAGTATTCAATTTACACCTGGAATTTAAATGAGTATAACCGTTTCTGAAAAAAATCCCAACCGAACTTAATAGCAGTTTAAACAAAAATCGATGTAGAAAATGGGCCAGGAAGGAACAGGGGACATTATCTTGTGACCGGGAACATTTCTCTAGCCATGTTTTTACAGATCGATTCAGACGGAAACCTGTGTTATCTCAGAGCCATGTTTGTCTTCACGATCTGTGCTTCTGTGTGTTCTGTTGTCTGGTGTGTGTGTGTGTGTGTGTGTGTGTGTGTGTGTGTGTGTGTGTGTGTGTGTGTGTGTGTGTTTGTGTTTGTCTGGGCGTGTGTGTGAGTGTGTGTGTGTGTGTGTTTGTATGTGTGTGTGTGTGTGCGTGCGTGTGTAAATGTGTGTATATCTATGAATATGTGGGTGTATATGTTTGTGTGTGAGTACGTGTGTGTGTGTATGTGGGGGGGGGGTATGCCGGAACAACCCTCTATTTCCGAAGCTACTGCTGCTCTCAACAACCAGTCCCCAAAGTATCCCCCACCACAGGTTACAGAGAGCCGCCTGTGCCGGTCAAACAGACCAAGTCTTCCAGGACGGCGAGACAGCTCAGTTGGCGCACAACATCTCTCAGTTGCTCCACAACATCTCTCAGTTGCTCCACAACATCTCTCAGTTGCTCCACAACATCTCCCAGTTGCTCCAGTCATAGCGTGACCTCAGAATTACGAAGTTCTCTCAGACAGTTTTGGCCGTTTTGAGTAACTAAGACCACGTGGTCTGAAACCAAATGCTCTATTAAAATCGTACAATGATTTTTCGGGCTCGCTATAAAGATATTAAGACAACTGCATTAAAAAAGGCTTGACATGATGTGAAACTCATTTTTAAAAAAGTCAAATTTCTCAAAACAAGGTACTGAGCAGAAAGAAGTTTTTTATTCTAAGGTAGAGATAACAAAACTCTCCCAAACCTCAGCAATCTGTCTTATCTATCATATAACTGTATGTGTACTGCAAGGATCATTCATCTCTCAGCAGATTGGTGTTAAGTTTCTACAAATGTTTAGGTGAAATGTGAGCGTCGTTGTAGGAAAGTGTGTGATGCTGAACACCTGGGAGACTACATTGAGTGCGTACAAACATGGTGAGGCCTTACGAATAACCAGATGAAAGAACAGAAATATTTCATCGCTGTTGCTATCATGGGCCCAAAAAATGACGGCTGTCAAGTTCTAAAGTTATTGCCGGACAAAAGAATATTTTATCTCTGACCTAGTTATTTTTTCTGTCCTGTACAGAGTTCGGTCGTGTTTACCTCCTGTAGTGCGCATCGATTTCTGTGACGTCAGCAGTTTTTGTCACAGTTATGATTAGTGTTGTAGAATTGTTGTTGTGGCTGTACTTTGAGACGGTGGTGTCGTGGATTTTGTTGTTGTTGTTGTTGTTGTTGTTGTTGTTGTTGCTGTCGTTGTTGGTTTTATTGTCGTTGTTGTTTTGTTGTTAGTTTTGTATGTTGCTGCTGTAGTCTTTTTTGTTTCTGCCTTTTGTCGCTGTTAGTTTTGTAGTTGTTGTTGTTGTATTTAATGTAGTGGACGTTGTTGTTGTTAATGTTGTAGCAGTTGCTTTTGTTGTTGTCTGGTGTCCAGTGAGGCAATTCTTAACTGATCGAAGCCGCTTTGTTCTGGGGCTCGTAAAAAGAAACAGGACTTCTGTATTCATGCAATTGTTTTCAATGTGTTTCTTTTTTTTACCTGAAACTATGAAATATGAACATGTCTGCTTCCTCTAGTGTGTATAGAAAAGGCTGGAAACGAGTGGCTACATCGTTTGTTGTTCACTGCAGACTGGGCCAATGAGTCTGCTACTTTCTAAACGAGTTGATAAATTCATTAAAAAAATATGTAAAGCACCCTGAAAGGAAATTTGGATGCAATGGCACGGTCAATACATGCATACAATGATGCAACGATGGCACACAATATACAGTTTATATTGTATGTAAATGTTATACATGTCTGTGTTTTTATCAGACCTGTAAATCCATGAATAATTTCAAACATGAACAAAAAAGTCTTATCTTATCTTATCTTATCTTATCTTATCTTATCTTATCTTATCTTATCTTATCTTATCTTATCTTATCTTATCTTATCTTATCTTATCTTAT